CCGATGCGGGACTCGATCCCGGGACTCCAGGATCATGACCTGAGCCGAAGGCAGTCGCTTAACCAACTGAGCCACCCAGGCGCCCCTATATTTCCTTTTCTTTATCAAGTCAAATCTGTTTCTGAGCTCACCTCTTCAAGAGCAATGAGATGCCCAGTATCAATTCATTTCTGTGGCTTTCTCCCCTTGCCATCCACCCCTCCTTGTATTATACCAGGATCTTGAGTTTCTGTCATCCAGAAAAAAGCAGAAAAGTGTTCACCATTGGTCCTTACCCTACTGACATTCTCTCTGTCTAGGCTGCTGTGAGGCCTGAGGAGCAGCCATGGGGTTTCCACTGGCCAGGCCTACTAAACCCAGCCCCTCCCTGCTGGATCCCTGCGGCTGGCCCCAAGGGCCGTCACTGCTGCTTCCTGGACCACATGAGTTAGTGCCCCACCTCCGCGGGCATTACCTTGGCCTCCGCCAAGCCCAGTCTTATATCTGGAAAACTAGAAGCAAAAGGACCATATTTTCATGCCACTCACAGAATCCACAGTCAGGTGTTGCACACGCCTTTAGAGTTGGATGAATTTAATGAACAACCTGAGTGTAAACCAATAGGGACTGATGAGGACAGTGCTGAACTGAAGAGTGAATATTCTGTCTAAATATGGATCCAGTGCTATCATATTTGATCTTTCAAGAGGAACTGAAATTCAAGATTTTCACACAAAATCTGTTTTAAAGTTGCTGGCAACTAACTAAAAAATTATAAATACATGTAGGTCAAACCTAACATGTCCATGGCCAGTATGAGTCCCTTCACTGGCAGTGTGCAAATTCTAAGCCTCAGAACCAAGTCCCCCTCACTGCAAACAGGCCCCTTCCTACTTCTGCTTAAAGTCATGCTTGCCATTACTTTCCCATTGTGGCAAATCCAGAGTGATTGTTTTAACAGGCCTGCACGAGATTTGGCCTAAGGTAAAATGTCTATGTGGGGATTGCCTTTTGTGGAAGGGCTTTTCCTCTTTCTTTCAGTCGTGAACTGTGGACTCTACATCCTGTACATCCTTTGGAGGTATAGGGACCTCAGACATCAAGAACCCAAACCAGGCTGCCTTTCTCTGTATGCTTGATTGTGAAGAAGAGCAGAAGCATAGGGTGAAAACACATGTGTAGCGTTTAAGGAATAATAGTCAACACTCATGTACCCATGCCAGAAAGCAAAATATACTCCAAAAGCCTCCTGTACCCAATCCTGATCTCTTCCCCTCTCTCCTCCAGAATATTAAACACTATTGGGAATTTTGTGAAAATTATTCCCTTGCTTCTCTTACCAGCTTGATTCTCTACATATGTACTCTAAAACATATTGTTTAGTTTAATCTACTCTGAACTTGATATATCTCAACTTAGAATGCATACATTCTGCCTCTTTTGGTCAATAGTATGTTTGGGGAATCTAACCATGTTATTGAGTATAATTGTAAGTTATTTCTTCTGCTGTATATCCCAACTTATTTCTCTACTCTACTGTTGATGGACAGACAGATTTGGGTTGCTATTATTAACAGTGCTGTGTAAAAATTATTGTACGATCTCTCCTGGGGTATATGCACAAGAGATTTTTTTTAGAGTATGTTGTATAGTGAGATTGCTGGCTAGTAGGATAGATGCATGGTCTGTTTTGCCATTTACAGTTCTCCAAAAGTGGTTTGGCCAAAGTGGATGTTTGTTCTAAACTGTTTTCCATGGTTATTGTGCCCATTTACATCCCACTGACAGCACAGGAGATTATTGCTTATACAGAAATTACTGTGTTGTTAAAAAAAAAGTCTTGTTGCTACACATAAAATATTAGGCCATACCAAAAATTATCTAACTGAATTTTTCATTTTTTCAATGAATCCACCTAATAGGAAAGGCAGGACACCAGCAAAATTTTCAACACACTCTATTATAAGTTGCATTACAGAGTAGGAGCAAGATTTTAGAGTTTTCAAGAATCTACTGTTGGCATTATTTTTATCTTAAATGACCCAGTGTTCTAAAAATAATCCAGGAATTCTTAGTAGGTAGATCCCTCCCAGATATTAAGAATATCGTAAGAAAAGTTTTTTATCATGATGGGTTGGACGGGATATTTTTTCTTTTTTGGTGATGATCCCATTCATTATATTTCCATCCTGGTATTATAAACTTTGATGACCAACTGTACAGTTCCACTGTTACCTTCTAAACAACTCCCTCTTATGATATAGGAAATTTTTATTTTATTCTATTAGTTTTGATTGACAACTTAGTCTTCATGTTATGAAAAGTTATACAAAATGCATAATAAGTGCATCTCTTCTAAATCTCAAAAGATTAAATTTTTAAAATATTTGTATGGAAAGCAAGGAATATAAGGTCTTCAAAACACATACTAAATCAAATTTTTTATTTGAATGTAATTCTCCTTCATCAGAAAACAGAGTTAATTCCTGACACTGCAACAATTTGTCTTGCCATGCATGATGTGATATTTGTAGAGAACTAAAATAGCATAATGACACAAACCCTTTGACTTGTGGGATTTCTAACAAAAAGGCGAAAACTGAATTCTGCAGCCATGCAAATTAGCACAGGCCTCATCTGTAGCCTCAGGTACTGGAACAAAACAGGAGCTATTCTCAATAAAACTAAGCTGTTGAGAATAAAAATCAGAACTCAAAACAGTAAATAGGAGCCATCAAATCTTTGTTTTCCTAAGCTGCTGAAGCTTAGAGCTCCCCAGGGAGTCAGCAGAAGTGCTAGGTGTTGGGAGGGCCACAGGAAATCCAACTAGTCATTGTTTTTAGACTAATTTTTTAAAAGAGAGGTGTCAAAAAGTCTTTGTCATCTTGATACACATGATATCATTCTTTTTCTCTTTATTTGACAGAGAGAGAGAATCGGCAGTGGGGGAACACAAGCAGGGCGAGCAGCAGAGGGAGAGGGAGAAGCAGACTCCCGGCTGAGCAGAGAGCCTGACGTAGGGCTCAATCCCAGGACCCTGGGATCATGACCTGAGCTGAAGGCAGATGCTTAACTGACTGAGCCACCCAGGTGCCCCGATATCATTCTTTCTATTTGCTAGGATGATATGCATAGAACTAGATGAAGAAAGAATTTCGGTATGTATTCACAGTGAGTGCTTCCATGCACAGGTTACACACTGTATGGAGATAAACCAAGGAACAAGAACACATGGTCCCTAGTCTTAAAAGTTTGTATTTAGGGGTGGGGGAGAAAAAAAAAAGTTTATATCTATGGGACCCACACTTTCAAAGTATCTTATATGCCATAGAACGATCCAAATACACTTTACTAATTAGAAACCTGAAGTCCAAGGGGTTGAAGAACTTGTCCAAGACCTCATATCTGGGAACTGGTGGAGCAGGTATTCAAAGTCAGTGTGGTCTAATTCCATAGCCAATGTTGTTACCTATGACACCCAAACACACCACCCCTCTCAGATCTTTATCTATTTGCTGTCATTTATAACTCTAACTATGTCCATGTTTACTTCCTATAGCTGTATCACATGGAACCATCTATTTAATACAAAATAGTGGAAAATAAGTTAAAAATCAGAATCACATGAAAAATGAATAGGAGAAGAGGACTAAGGGAATGATACACAGGCCACAATGTCCAGTACAGTCACGAAAATTGGGGGCTTCAAATGTGGTGTTTTTGCTTCTTAGTGTCAAAACAAAAAGGAAAACATGGTCATTTCCAAAGTCACATTGTCTACTTGGGGCAATAAGCTAAGAAGGGTTCATTTTGGGAGAGTTCATGGAGAGGGTGATTTTGTGCAGTGTCTTTACAGAAAAGAGAGAGGCAGTTTGGTGTAGAGAATTTGTTCTTCATCAGTGATTCTCAAGCAGAGCTACCTACTGCTCTGGGACATTGGGCAGAAGCTTTCAGATTGCATCCCTGATGACCACGGACCAGCCTCACGGGGGTCAGGGTCGTCTGTCGAGAATTCTGCTACTGTGTGCTGTGCTGCTAATGACAGTGTACTAACCGAGGTGTACAGGTGAGAGCCCCTCAGGTGGAAGAAGGAAAGGGAGGAGAACACCTGTTCTAGATAAAAGGGAGGGGAAGGAGTCATTTATTCATTCACTTCTTCTAAAAACATTCAGCATAACACCATGTGTGAAGGCAATATAAGACAGAAAAATGGAGTATGTGTTGTGTTGGAGAACGGAGGGGAATTAAGTGCTTCTGTGTGCCACACACGCTGTTAAGAGCTTTACGTATATTATTTCATTTCATCTCCACCACAACCGCGTGAAGTAGGAATAATGCCCATCTCACAGGTCAGAAGACTTGAGCTCAGAGAGCTCAAGTAACTTGCCCAAGGTAAAACACCTCTGAAATGCCAGGATGGAATGACATTCAGGTGCTCTCTGTCCCTACCCAGCCTATTTCCACTCTCCATTTTCGAAGCCACCTCCTTCTTCAACAACTCCAGGGGGTACCATTCCCACTGGATTCTATGTACAAGGCTCTCCTGAAGCTCAACGAGGGAGGGAAATCAAAATGGCTTCAATTAAAGCACACTCTCTCAAGGGGTTTTTAGCCTAACTGTGGAATAAAGACCAGTGTGTACACATTCCTAAAAACAATACAAAATACCAAAAGAGGAGAACAGAGGTTGGAGGGATTCGTTCTGCTGGGCTTGGAGGCAAGGTATCTGGGAAGGTGTGGAAGTAGCAGCATTTGAATTGAGCCGAGAAGGATGGATACAATTAAATGACAGATTTTATTGTGTGGGAGAGATATTTTCTTGGAGAGGCAGTGGTATGTTCTGGAAGGCCTTTCCAGGGACTTGAGATTAGCACAGTTCTGCTGGGAAAGGTTACACTGACATCATGGAAGAGTGAGTGGAGTGTAAGGGACAGCAAGGGACAGATCTGAAATCCAAGTACACACCTTCACTGATCTCTCTCCAGTTCTGCATACTGCCTCATCTTCTCAATCAGAGAGTCCAGAACTGCCTAGCAGAGTGACACTGGCGTGTGAAATCCCATCTAGTGCTCCAGTAACTTAAGACCTCAGAAAATGAGGAGGAATTTTGAAGGAGGAGGCAGTGGAATCAGGTTTCGGGACCTAACACTCCTCTTTCCTCCTTCCTGTTCCACCTCCATACACTCCGTCTTGGAAACATCAGACCTTTCTTTCCCCATGTGTTGGCAGTGCCAGTTCAGGGAAAATAAAGGAGTTTCTTTTGTAGCTCCAAGAATCCAAGTTGGTGAGAAGGAGGGCTTGCTTGGCCCATAGAGAAGACATCTCTGATTCCTCTGGGCCTGCTCTCAGACCTTCCTATCCCATGCCCCATAGCTCTCGGATGCCTTCAAGAGAAATGCATAATTTGGATTTGGGTGCAGCAGGCTGCACACGTATCACAAGGAGTCGAAGAAAGAAGAGAGAGTGATCTCAACTGCCACTAGGCCTAGGGGCTTGGAGACATGAAGAAACGTGTTCTGTAGAGCTGACTGCCATCTCAGAAGGGACTGACCCTGTGTCCAGAAATGTGTTCCATACACCTTACTGCTGTGTAGGAAGAGACTTCAACTGCCCTGAAGCTCTGAACTCTGCTCCCATGCTGCCTACAGGGGTGATGTGGAGTTGTTGCCGCCCTCAACCCTACCCACTATGACATGCTGCCCCACCCCGCTGGAGAGGACAGGTCTGGTGATATGTGGAGGCCTCAATCACTAAGGAGATACCTTTTCTGAAAGTTCTGACAATCGGTTGGAAATCTCAGTGAGAACTGAAGAAATCTCAGTGGGGAAGAGAAGGGTGAGTTTGGAGGGCATCATCAAAGGCTGGGATGCCTTGTGTGTAAAGAAAAGCAGGGAAAATGCAGGGGAGCGATGAAAGGGGAAGGAGGTGTGAGAAAGAATTAAAAAGAGAACTAAAGGCAAAAAGCTTCAGAGGAAAGAGAAAAGAAGAGAAGCTGGCACATGAAAGGAGAGGGGAGTGTAGAACTCTACTTTTCTTAGATTGGTTTCGGTCCTGAACTTTAGTCTTGGGGCAGCGGTTAGGAGACACCGTCCCTGGGAGCCCAACATTTGTTTCTTCCTGTTGGTAGGTGTATCCTGCTGTCCACCCTACTGCTTTTGCTGCTATTTCAGAATCGACTCAGCCTGTGATATCTAGAACTTGTTAGAACTCAGATGGCAATAGACCTAGAAATCAGGCAGCCAGCTTTATGGCACCCTCTGGCTCTTCTCTATTATCTTTTCCCCCTGAGTTTCCCTGGAGATCTGGGTTAGAAATAAACTCTCAGTGCATTTGCCAAAAGACATAAGCTTGAGTGCCCTTAGTGCTTTACCTGTGACCAGACAAACGCAGGCCAGGAAAGGGAAAGGTAGCCAAAATGTGAAAAACTGTGAAAACAAGAAGATTTCTGTACTCCAGTGGGATTCACTTATGCAATTTGAAGTTAAAACAAAAGCTGGATTACCGGAATTTAGTAAAACATTGCGGGTGATGCTGGAAAACAGGAGGGACTAGGAGGCATGGGTCTCTTCTCAGCTCTGTCTTGCCTGGTCAAACTTTTGCCTGCTCCCTCCTGTGTTAGTGTGGGGCAACTGTTACTATGTTGGACATTAGGGCCTACGTTTACGTAATAAATGTGTGTGTTAACATTTTAGGAAACCCACAATGGAAGTAGCTGGACAGGACCCACTGGATGATGTGTAAGTAATAAAGATGATAAAGTTCAGTAGAGGAGCTGCTATGGGAAGGATCTGCCCCAATCCAGTAAGGAAGAGAACCTCCGTGATGCAGGACATTATCTCTTCAGGCCTGGGAGCCTTCCAGGGGAGAAAAGACTTTAGTTTCAGATCTTTAGACTTCCTCATACTAATAATGGTAGGGTTTTCAGAAATACCTAAGGCCTCAAAAAGCAAGTCAGTCAGATTTGGAGAAAAGATCCACTCCCACCCCTGCCCCCCACCCAGTCTGTGGGCCTACTTGACTGGGGTAGAAAATACACAGCATAAACTCCTCAGGAGACTGTAACAGAAGGGTACTGAAGAAATCCCCTCATCTTGGCAGATCTTTACATGTTTTATAGGTGTAGCTTGGATTCCACATACTCTATAAAAAATTTTAAAAAATAAGTAAGTTGGAGCATAATTGTTCATATGAAAAAAAATTTCTTCTGCTTTATAAAAGGTTTGTGATTTAATGGGTTCCATTTACAATATTTAAAATTAAAATTAAAATGTGATTTGAGGGGCACCTGGGTGGCTCAGTCAGTTAGGCGGCTGCCTTCAACTCAGGTCATGATCCCAGGGAAACCTTCTTAGGGCTCCTCTGTTTTCCTGTCCTGAGCTCAATAAGAAAGCTGATTTTCCTGTAGGCAGATGATAGAAATACCGAAATTAGAAGTCACAAAACAAAACCTTGACTACCTGAACTCAGACCTTGAAAAGGACCTGCAGAGACTGGATGAGGCAAATCAAGTTCTTCTCAGGAAAATTCAAGAGAAGGAAGAAGCTATTCAAAGGTCAGGCTTTGCGGCTGGTGAGGGAAGGGCTTCTCCTCAACAAAACGGCCCTTGGAATAAAGAGAAGATGGGAGGAAGGTTTCCTTTTTCGTTGATAAATCTTGGCGTGTTGAATTCTGAAGCATGAACTGTGATGCCCCCAGGGGCTTTATGTAGAGATTCTTGCATTAAATTTCCACATGAGGCTGACGTTGTATTGCCACTGCATTTGGCAGTCAGTATATCCCCCGCCCACCGCCCCGAGACCTTGGCTTCCTAAGCTGGGGCGCTGGCAGTGTCCTCATGAGTGATCCACATCTGGGTGTCTGTATTTTTCAGTCTGGAAGGAGAGATTGCCCTGTCACTAGGACGAGCCAATGAGAGGGAGGAGTTGAACCATATCGCATCAGAGAAGGAGGAAACCTTGAGGAACCTGGAATCAGAGACAGCAAAGCTGGTAAGAAGGTGTCTAGAAAAGGACCCTGTGACACATTTGGCTTGCAGTCTGCTGCTGCTCTCTCTTTGCCAGGGGATCATCATCCATGGTCCTTGCTACGTCTGGAGAAATCAGACGAGAGTGCTCTGAGAATGAAGCGCTTGGCATGGGGGCCCCAGGCCTGGGCTCTCTTCCCATTTCCTCTGTGTGGGGCCAGAGGGTCCTTTCCCCCCTCGATACACTCATCCACAGACCATATTTTAGAGACCCAGGGAGAGTGAAAGTACAGAAACAGAGCAGGTGTATCCCCTTTACTTCTTCTTTTCCACAGGAAAAAAGTAACAAGATTCTGAGCAGGAATGTGGTAGAGCTTCAGAAGAAGGTAAGGTGGGCCCCCCTTGAAGGAGGCTCATTTTTTAGGAATCTTGACAGAATCATCTGAACTCCTGAACTCTCTAGTCAGAAAGACCCAAGAAGGAGCAACCGGCTAAATGGGTGTGCTCCCTCCCCTCTGCCACCCACTTAGGACAAACTCTGATGAACACCCCCATTTGTTCCCTGGGATTACAGGTCTGCTGAGATAGCTAAGGGACTGACTATAGGAGAAAAGATTTTTCCCTCCCTCCCCCAACTGTTCTGCACCCCCCCACTTCCTCCTTGCTCCCTGGGCATTTGTTTTCACGGCCTATGGGAGCAAAAAGGTCTTTCCAGCCAGCCTGGAGTCAGGCAGTTCCCATGAGCAAGAAGGAGACACTCTTCTATCAGAAGCTTCTACCTGGGATCTAAGTTCATTAACCACCACCATTCCATAGCCCCGAGACCCCAAAGTCGGCCACTATCCCAGTTTTTGATGTCTGTGTGCCTCACTCAGTTCATGGTTTTGGGGATGGTATTTCAGATTTCAAGGAGACATAAGAATGATGGCCTTAATAAAGAAACCCTAAAGCAGATGTTGGCAGAACTGAAGGTGAGTAGAAGAGCAAACCTAGAGACTTTCTGGGAGATGTGTGTCAAGTCTAGGTTCGGGAGGAACAACTTTCAAGGACTCTCCCAGGCTAGGTATGTCTGTGTGCTTCTCAGAGGTGAGCCAATGTCTTTGTTCCCTTTCCTTTCCTCATGGCCTGTGGGGCATTCATAACATGATTAGTCAAGTAACTGCAGAGGTCACTTCAATGTCATCAAAGTAGAGGGGATTGCTTGAGACCTCATCACCCATCAATCACTAGAACACACATGCTGAAGGCACATCAGGAACCAGCCAAGAAGCTTAGGGTCTGAATGACGCACAACATGGATATTCAGGGGCGCCTGGGTGGCTCAGTCAGTTAAGCGACTGCCTTCGGTTCAGGTCATGATCCTGGAGCCCCGGGATTGAGTCCCGCATCGGGCTCCTGGCTCAGCGGGGAGTCTGCTTCTCCCTCTCCCGCTCCCCCCTCTTGTGCTCTCTCTCTCTCACTCTCTCTCTCAAATAAATAAATAAAATCTTTAAAAAAAAATATGGATATTCAGGTAAGATGGGAATACGAACTTCCATAATTATACAACAATGTGTCAATAATCTTATCTCATTTTCCAACCCATGGCTTATAGTCCAAAAAAGTTTTATTTTTTAAAATGTAGTTTATCTTTTTCTTCTATGAGAAGGTAAACCCAATGAGGGTGAGAGTTTTGGTCTATATTGTTCACTCCTATTTCTCCAGTGCCTAGAACAGTGCCTGGCACATAGTAGATGCTCAATATTTGTTGAATGAATGAATGAACTGGATGCCCCATAGAGGACAGAAATCCTATTGGGGAACTTTCTGCAGATTTATGTGAGTGTACCCTCTGGAAGGTAAGAGGGAGAAAGAGGCCTGTGAGCTTTGGTCAGTCAGGCTAGAGGAGGATGGTAAGGCTCAGAGACTGGGCAGTCAGTGACATGTGACACGTCACAGACCATGTGACGTTTAAAGAAGCTAAGCACTTAACTTCTTGCCTTTGTCTCCCCATCTATCAGATAGGGCTAATGATAGTGCCCACCCCAGATTGTGAAAATGTGTCCTCAATCCCTCAATACATGATAGCCATTTTTATCATGTTCCTTGCTGGTCTGGAGAGAGGGTGATCATTACCCATTTGCCTTCCACAAAAGAATGCTAAGAACTTTCTTCTGTCTCCCAGGTCAGACTACAAAAGTCAACAGAGTCCTGCACAAAGCAAGAGAAGGAACTGCTCAAGGTAGAGGCAGTGTCTCCTCACTGAGGGTCTGGCCAGGATATAAATGGGAGAACACCCCAAAGTCTTAGAAACAGGACAGCTGGAGGCATGGGAGGGGGAGTAGCAGGAACATCTGGCAGAGGAATTTCTGATTCCCATGCAGGTGAAGGGCAAGAAAGCTTATATTAGAAGTAACTGGTTTTACCATTTCTTAAACACCCTTTTACCGCCCCCTTCAAAATACTATTGCTGAATCCCAAACCCAAGTGCCCTGATACCTCTCCTGATGTTTCACCTGACAGGCATATGACAACCTGGCAAACAATTTTTGTTTGGCTCAAAATTATACTGTGCCCCTGAATGATGAGATTACTGCTTTGTGATATGCTTATTTTCCCTTAAAATTAGAAGTTGCTTGGTAACCAGCCACATGTCCAATGCACCAGTTAGGGTCCCCAGGAGCAGCCAAGGCTTGGTTCTGATGAGATTTGTTAATTTTCTCTTCTTTCTAGATAGAGAACGACTACCAATCTTTGCATCAGCTCTGTGAGGACCAGGCCCACTACATAAAGGTATGTTGTCAGCAGGGGCAAGTCAGAGAAGAGGCAGAATTTCTCCAAAGCTATGGGCTCCTTGGTTTCTCATTGGGCTAAAATCTGCCACCGGGGAAAATGTCTTTTATACAATAGCAACAACAACAGAACAGATGTATGTTAAGGATTTACTTTGTGCCAGGCAATGGCACATACAGTATTTGTAAGCTCTCAACATACAGTATTTTTCTACATTAATTTGTCCAGTAAAACTATTGGGATGATATTGTTATAATCAAGAGGACACTGGGGTTTAGGGGAGTTAGGTAATGTGCTCTGGGAACACAACAGTAAGCATCAGAACTGGGACTTGAATACAAGCAGAATCCAAAGCGAGAACTCTTTTTTTTCTTTTCAGATATATCCATCTAGTCCTGGTATCTCCCAATTTTTATTAGAATATTTCCCTACTCATGTGTGCACACTCATGCATGCACCATTTGGAGTATAAGGAGTTAGTCTTAGGAGAATCATCAATGACATCATAATGAAATATGGAGAAATTCTTCATTATAACAATTTTTTTTTTGTTTCCATGGGAAGAAATACCAGGAAATTCTGAGGCAGATGGAAAAGGAAAAAGAGGTGATGCTTCTTGAAAAAGAAGTGTAAGTTTGGAAAAATTATGTCCCTGATAGACTGCAGTGACAGTCCCTGGGATGTCCTGGAAGGGCAAAGGGCTTCTCAGACCAGTTTTTGTTTTTTTCTGGGGTTTTTGACTTTTGTTTTTTTGCTTAGTCCTTTCTTTAGGTCATAAAACTATTCTCTTATGCTTTCCCCTACAATTTTGTTTTATTATTTTACTGTGCACTTAAATTCGCATTCATCTGGAATTTGCTTTCTTCTATGGTGTGGGGTAGAGATCAAGATCATGGTTTTCTGTGTGGAGAGCCTATTGACCCAGCACCATTTATTTAAGAGAACATGCATTTTCAGTGGTGCCTTGTTTTATAAGTCAGGTGACCATACATGTGTGAGACTTTCTGCAGTTTCAACCCAACATCAGGGTTACATCAGGGTTATTCTTCACTGATTGTCTTTTCCCTTGAGAACGGACCACAGTTTCCTGGTATCTCTGTACGTTGAGCAGTTATGAGTTTTGAATGTTGAACCCTGTGAATGCTATCAAGAATCTGGGAAATAAATCATCGGTGTTGCATGACTTAGAAAAGTACCTTTCATCAGCCCCTCAGATTATGTTATATCATTCTCGGATCCTATTTTTTTCACCCAGATTCAAAGCCCAGAATAACTCTTCCCAAATTGTGAAACCTGGGTCAATTCTGGTAGAGACCATCCAAAGCAACATGGTAAGTCTTCCTTGTCCCACACTGGAGTGTTCCTTTTTCCCTCCCTCCCCTGGCTTCTCTCTCCTTGCTCCCTGCATCCTCTCCCCTTTGTAATAAACCTAGAGTTAGGACATAATGAAGTTTGGTACCTCGTTCCACACTATGGCAGCTAGAAAGTGGCAAAGTCAGGATTCAAATCCAGGCAGCCTGACTCTTGACTCCTGGGTGGCTCTTGGTACCCTACTACACTGCTTGTCTATGACCACACAGACAGGCTCAGCTGTGGCTTTTCTTGCTTCCCATAGGAGAAGACTATCATTAAGAAACAGAAGAGAATCTTTTGGTACAGGTAAGTGGTAGAATCTTGGTTTTTACCCAGTCTAGGCCACATTCACTCTCTAGAAGCAAGTGACTTGGTAAGGGTATAAGGAATAAGGATGAATACACCCACCAGCCAGAAAATATCAGGCAGCCCCAGATTTCTCCCAACTCTTCTTTCCTTCCTTTCCACAACACCAGAGTTATACAGAAAAAGTAGCTATTTCTTCAAGATGAAGGCTGTAGGTTGCATTTTACTTTGCTGGAAAAAGTAGCTATTTCTTCAAGATGAAGGCTGCAGGTTGCATTTTACTTTGCATTTCCATTCTTATGGTTCTTGGCATGACCCCTTTCTATTTTTCAGATCCTGAACCTGATAATCTCTGCTATACTCTTTGCTGAGAAGATGGTTCAGGGCTCATTAATTTTCTCAGTTCTTTCACTGTAGGCTGAACATTTTAGAAAACAAAAATCACCTAAACTCTCTATGCCTTTTCTGTCTTAATTTTTGAAACAAGGGGACTAACTCTGAAATGCTCCATGTAGCACTTTAGTGAAGAGCTTCAATTTATGACATTTCAATATAATTAAAGACTGAAGGCCTTAGACAAGATTTCAGTGTGAAATTTTCTTGGGAGCACACAAGAAAATACACACACACCTTTTATTGTTTAACTTGGTCTCTTTTGACACTTGATGTTTAGGGAAAAAACCTATCCTAATGATTTTGCCTGGACATCATGTCAGAGATGTCCCAATCTTATTCCAAATTCTAGAACTTCTTGCTATAGTAGACCAGAAGAGGACTACTGGTCATGAGACTCATAGGTGTGACAGTCCTGAACATTTTCTGGCAACCCCCAAAAGGCCTGCCACTTATGTAATACCTGGAAAATCTCCTTTTCCACTTCCAACTTTTTTCTATATGGACATCTATTCTGTCAGAGGGCTTACATGTCAGGAGAGCCTTATGCAATGCCTAACTACTACATTGATCTTTTTCTGCAATTGCCTATCCCCTACCCTCATCCTTTGGGTCTCCCTTCTCCATCAGTTTTGCCTGAAGAAAGCAATTCAATTATTTATGAGTGTGAGCTTCACCTCCTACAGCTGGATCCTGGGCTGTCCCTGTCCCCCATGCTAACCAAGAATGTCTCTTTGCAGGCATTTCAGGTGTCTTGTCTTCATGGTCATGATCTTCATTAGGCTGCTGGGTTATGCGCTTTTCCACCTGCAGTACATAAACCCAGACCTTCTTGTGGATGCCCTACCCATGGTAATGAGCAGGGACACCTTGAAGAGACTGAGGGAAGTCTTATTTCCCTTCCTCACTCTAGAGGTGGAAGAAGTTCTACCGCATTAATCTGAAGTAACGTGGGGGGCTCCACATGGCACCCAGTAGGGAAGGGGGACGTGACTGCAGCCCTGAATCGGTGGTGGGCCAAGAAGGAAGTGGGAGCCTTGACTTGGATATCTGACCTCTTCATTTCATTCTATTCCCTTGCTTTCCCTTTGCAGTGGCTCTCTTTTAAATAAAGAATATGTTTGACCAGTGTTCATTGTGTTGGTCTGTGAATTTGGTCTGTGAGTCCTGGGGCCTCATTAAACATTCACAGTTTCCACCTGTTTTGAGAAAAGCTACACTCAGAGGTAAGAAAACCTCCCCCAGCACTTCCACTCTCTGCTCCATACTGAAGAAACAGTAGAAAAAAAATCATGTCTTCATTTGTAACATTCTCCACGTCCTCTGGGGTGGGTACAAAGGCTATTCAATTGAGGAATCATGAGGTGGATATAAGGTGTGCTTTCAGCCAATATTTTAACAACCCACTGTCCTTCCTAAAGCTTTTTTATTTTTATATTTCACTATGTATCATAGGAGTGGATGTCCTAAAAAGCTAACCTTTCTTTTTTCCATGTACACAGATGGTTACTCATTCTCAACTGAGAAGAAAATTACTCTAAAATTCAAGTGACATATAAAATGTAGTGTGTAAAATCAGCAAAACACGATTTTGCACCTACCTATCATTCCTATCATTCAAATCCTAATTCAAATGCCATCTCTCCCATAATGTCTCCTCTGATCCCTCCAGACCTGAGACAGCTTCACTTGCCTTCTTCTGAATGCTCCTTGCACATTTGGCATCTCCTTCCTCCTACACATTCCTCAGGTTCTCGCTTTCTGATGACCTTTTGTCCTTTTGAGATCATTTTTTTAAAAATTTTTTTATTCTTATGTTAATCCCCATACATTACATCATTAGTTTTAGATGAAGTGTTCCATGATTCATTGTTTATGCATAACACCCAGTGC